AAAAAGAAATTTATAACAAAAATACAATAAATACGATAAATTAAATTTCAAAAGTTAAATAATAGTTGTTTAATCTCCAATAATTATTGATAATTTTTTATTAAATAAAGAAAAGTGAAAATACATTTATAAATAATTATTGAAGGCATATTTATAAAAAGCAATAAATAATTACTGAAAATAAAATAAATAATATAATATATATAAATATATAATGAATATACTCTATTATTGTAAAATTATTACTAATAAATATAATTTTGTTGATAGTTATTTTCTATAGTTATTAATTGATATAAGTGAAATTAGTTATTAACAATATTATTTAGTTATTGAATAATATTGTTACTGAAATTCTTAAAATATTAATTATTTATTGAATTTAATAATCCATAAAGTTATAATTTTAATATTATTACATAATTTGTTATTAATTTTGTAAAATATTAAATTATTATTAATATGAATATTATGAATTCTATTATAATTATTTTTCTACTTTTAAGATTTTTTTATATTTTATTACATAATTTCGTTATTTTAACTATTTAAAATTTTGTCATGTTAAATATTTTGTTATTTAAATATTTAAATAATATGTAAAATATTTAAAAATTTTCATTATTTGAATTTTATTTATTTTAATGTTATTGCATAATATTAAATATTTTGTTATATTACTTAGCTATTTTTCTTATTTTTTATTTAAGATTTTTAGTTATTAAAATATTTAAATAATGTGTTATTTTTTAATGTTAAATATTTATTACTTGAATAACATTTAAATTGAATAATTTGTAAAATTATAATTTATATTGTTACTACATAATTTCATGATGAATTTTGTAAAAATATTGATTTATTAATATTATGAATCTTATTAAATCTATTAATATTTTGTGTTTTGAATGAATATTTTAAATTTAGTATATAATTTTGTTATAACATTTAAATAGTTCTGAATTTTTTAATTGAAATATTCTTTAAATTGATATAGATAAAAAGTGGGAAAAGGATAAACTGGAATTAGAGATTGTTTAGGAGAGAATCTCTCTACTAAATTAGATATAACTTAAGAGATAATTTAGGAGATAAATAGAATTAAAGACAATTTACGAGGAAGTGGGTGAAAGTGGTGCCACTTGGCTAAACATTAGAAAAGCAAATCTCTCTTTTTTTATGGTTGTTAGAAATAATTAAGCATATGTGATTTCCTTGGTTTAATGCGTAATTATGTGGAATTAAAAAAATAAAAAATAAAAGAAAACAAAAAATTAAGAAAGGGGGTTTGAAGAAGGAGAGGTATGGTGACATGGGGTAAGGTGCTCTGTTATTACGTTGAGAGAAAGGTGATGATGGTAATATTGGGTTTAAAAAAAAAAACTAAATGTCAATTAACTAAATAATAAGAAACTTAAAGATATTAACGAATGCTAATGATAAAAGTAGAGCTAATTAATTATTAAAAAGCTTAAAGATAATCTAAAACAACAATTAAAGAATAAGAATACAATTTATCAATTAACTAAATAATAAGGATAGTGAAGAAATTTACCCTTTCTTTTATTTATCTAACAACAGTTGAGTTATTTATCTAAGAGGACAATTGAGTTGAAGGGAAATAGTACGCGAAGGCCGAAACTTTAGGGCGCCATTTAAGAATAAGGACAAAACAACCCCGAATTTTATTTTATTTAACCAATTGCCTTGGATGTAATGTCCCTTTCTCTTAAGTTTCCTTGGCACTCCGTCCTTCTTCTATCATTCATTCCCACTGCTAAAAATTAAGTTGCAGAAGTGCAAGTGGATCCCCACCAATTGTCGAGCACAGGCGATGTAGTTGTAAGAATCAAGATGCAGTTGCATCGTTATTTTTGTTTCCTTTTTCTTCTCGTTCCATGCGCGCGCTCCAAGCTAAAGAAAGTTCGGACATAGCTGCGTGTGGGTATTGGTCTCTTGCTCACTTTCGTGAACTCTCTCCCCCACATATCAAACAAACTGACACAGAAATCATTTGGGTTAAGTCATTTGTCCGCAACAAGAGAGACAACTGAGACGAAGGAGCTCTTCGTTCGATGGTTTTGCCGATTGACTCCATGCATTCAAACAACCAGGCCGTAGTGTTAAATCCCTGTTCTGATATTATCCATCTTTGTTATGCATCTTTGGGTTCCGTGTCGTTTTGAATCCTTCTCGATCATGATTTTTTTTTCTGCTTTCTGCTTTTACTTTTCTTTTTTCTTTTACCGTATCCATGTCCTTCAACTCTTTAAACTGGTGATGACGATGAACGTTCTGAGAGAAAAGAGACGATTTGTTCTTTGTGTTTTGTTGGGTATAATCTATTAGAACAATTTAACTTTACCATCTGATACATCACAATTCACAGGAAGTAAATGACCAAAATACTAGTCATAAGAAGGGTATCCGTTAAACCTCTCCTGGATTTTCTGAAAAGATTTTAAATATTCCATCAACTTTGATCTGTCCTTAAAAGTTGAAAGGTCTGTGACTTACAGACCTCTTGTTTGGAAAGAGGTAGGGAAAGGAAAGTTTAAAAACCTATACAAACCTTGTATAGGTTTCCCTAGTTTTCCTTTATCTTTTTCTTCAAACTAAACACAGCCTAAGGATCACTTTGGAAAGAGTATAAGTACAAATGTGTACAGTACAAATATATACGAAATAATATAAAATATAAGGTTTTGCACTTTGCATATTTGTATTTGTACTCCTTCCAAATTGAGCCTAAAGAGTACAAATACAAATCTGTGCAGTACAAATACATACAAGATAATATAAAATATAAGGTTTTGCGCTCTACATATTTATATTTGTACTCCTTCCAATTGAGCTTAAATGCCCATGCTAATTCCTTCTATCAAGTTAGTAGGTTTTTAGTAATTCTAATTTTATTTTTAAATGGTTAATATGAATAAATATGTTTTACTATTTTATTTTTTATGACATGAATAAATTTGTATTTGCGTAAATAGAGGTTTAAGTTTGTTTTGTTAAAGGCTTAAGGGCATTTTAGCCATCAAACATTTGACAATTTTACATAAGGAAAAAGTTGGTAGTAGAATATGTTTAAATGCATGACATCAGTGGTTGTTGTTAGAATTCTAATGATAAAGTAAGAGAATGGATGTATAAGGCTAAGTTTGGGTGTGCTTATTTGAAAAATAAGTATTTATTCTAATAAGTGCTTATGAGCGTTTGGTGAAAAATCACTTATTTTAAATGGGGGTAGTATAAGTATTTTCAAAATGATGTGGCAGGCAGAGATAGGCTAGAAAGGAAATAAACACTTAAAAATTAAACCAAAATTTTGGTCTTTTCAACTAAGTATTTATTCTCATAATAAGCACTTATTTCAGGCTTATTTTCCAAACACAAATAATTGATTGATGGTGTGGTTCCAACCCAAAATAAGTGCTTATTCAAATAAATACTTATTAAGCACTCCCGAGCCCAAGTCCCTTTATCCCCAAAGGTAGGGGGAGGTTTAAGGGAGTTTGGATCTGCTGGCCACACATGGAACATTAGTTGTACTTTTATATTGATGATTATTCCTAATGTGTCTGGATGAGCATGACCAGCAATGTGTTATAGTCAGCAGATCTGAACTTGGTTTAAGGATAAATTTAAGTTGATTGGAGGTTTAAGACCTTTTCAAAAAAAAACCAGGGAAGGATTAAAGGGATTTACCCTTAGAAGAAATATGGTAAATGATTTGGCAAAGTCTCAAAAGTCAGCCTAATTAATATGAATGATACTTCATGCAATTTTTTTTTTTTCATTTCCACGAATGGGCTCTCTCTCTCCTCTTGACTTTGCCTCCCATTGTCATTCATGACAATTTTCAAAGCCTTATCCCAACAATTAATTCCAATTTCCAACTTCCAAGTTGGTTGCATAAATTTCAAATTCCTTATATACCACACTAATTAGTGTATACCTTGTTAAGAAGTTCCTCCTCCCTAACCACATGCATATAGGTAAAGCATTTGCAAGTGAAGATTAAACAAAGATAGAGCAGACTAAATTCATTAATACTGATTTGTTCTATCCTATATTCAACCAAGTTGAAGGGAGTAAGAAAAGTTAGCGGTAGATTGAAAAGGACTTGAATAGAAGTAACAAGGGTCTATTTGATTTGTATGAATAGGGGTCTAGAATCTGAACTAGAACGATCCGATCTTTGGTTGAATGAAATCAGAATCCAATTTTTATTCCTGATACAATGACATTCCCTATTTGAGGGACGATCATTCCCTTTTCTCTCGAGAATGAGAATTTCATTCTAGCCTATTCCAGTTTTTGTCTAAACCAAACAAGCAAAAGCAAAGGGCATAAGCCATTTCCATTCCAGTTCTAAGATATTTCAGATCCGATTGGCTGCAAACTTAACTAACCCTAAAAATGATTTTTAAGTGTGCATCGATTAAACAAAATGATGAAACATGATTAATGTAACTGATCAAGGCTAAGATGATGATAATGATGATGACTGAATTTATTCTAAGGGTACATACCCAACTGCTCCATATGTTATCTAACAATATCCATCCGTCCATTACCTAACCTTCCTTTAACTATTAAAAGTTTAGAGCTTTCTTTTATGTGGTAATGTTATAATTCACCCCCACCTACCGCATTCCTGTATCAGTCTAAACGTATTAAAGTTAAATTCATATATGAAATGGAGCACTTCCAAAAGGGGAAAGACGTTTTTCTGAGTGAAAAAGTTAAGCGCACGTAAATCGGTTTCTTTTGTTTTCTTTAGAGTTTTGGAATTTGGACTACTTGGATGAAATTACAAAAAGACAAAACAAATATTCTTATGCGGTTTCTTATTGGGAGGGCATTTTGGTCATTTTAAAAAGTAACTGTCGAGACCATAACCACCCTCAGGCTCATCCCTAGCACGCGAAACGAGAGATGTTGTTGTGGTTATACTTTCTATTTAATTCTTGTCAACAGTTTTGCCGTCTCTCGCCGGTGTTCCCCCACCATCACTGACTCACTGTCCAGTTCTGTCGTTTTTATTTTATTTATTTATTTTTTTGGTTCGATCTAGAAGGTTTTAAGGGAAGAACGTAAGCAGGGGGTTTGGAGAAGAACGGTACGCCAAGACCGAAGAACACTCTCTCTCTCTCCATTGAAAATCAGAAAAGTAAACAATACATGTTTAATGTATTCAAAGGTGACGGTTTCATTAAATTAATGACAACCAACTTACCATTAAAAGCTCGCCCTCTCTCTTTCTTCTCTTTGTCCCTCCAGAATTCTTGATTTTTTTATTCTTGTCAGATCTTTACTCTTGGCATCGGCCTCTCTCCTTCCTTTCTTGAACGAGTCCTAGTCCACCACGAACGCCTGCCTGTTGCTACTGCCAGTGCTAGTGCTGGCCGGTACTTCTTCTTTTTTGCCGAATAGTCAAATCTTCTTCATACAATTAATCCCTTGTGTCTTCTGTCCGGAGGGGACAAAATAGATAGGAAAAAGAGAATACGGGGAGATCGAGAAGATAAACCCCATAGGATTCTGGTGATGCAACGATGGTCGAAAGTTGCTGTGGCGGCATTTCCCGTCGCAGTTCTTGCAGTGTTTCTGATTGTCTTCCTCCGGCGGTGGTGTTCCTCCAAAGGAGATCGTACGGGTATTACAGATACTGCAGAGACTAGACCAAGGTCCCTCCAATCTGCGATTGCAAAGCTTCACCTGGCCAATGACAGGGACAGTCGCAGGCACTTCCCTAATTTTCATCATCATCATCATCATGATCTAGATAGCAAGAGGAGGACGAATTATTATGTTTTTCGACGTGGGGTATTGGCGAAACCACTGTTCAGTTGGGCTGATCACCCTTGGCTTGTAACAGAGGCGGTGGAGCATGGGTGGTCCAGATTTGCTTTTACGGCCAACCTATCGTCTCCTTCCACTAAATCATCACTGTTGGGTCTTTGCGCAGTTGGCGACCAAGGAAGAGAAAGAGATGTGGACATTAGCTGGGAGGTGTTCCCGGGGTCGGCGGATTTCATGCAGAAGATAAGGCTCAATCCGGGACTGAAGAAGATAAATACGGGAACGACTCCTTCGATGGGTGTTTCATGTGTCGTGAGGTCTGCTTTGCCTTTGCCGGGCCCTCCCTTGGGGACTTGCTCCTTCCCTCAGGAAGCCTATTTCGAAATTACCATCTTGTATTCCCCGGAGGAGGACAAGGGGAGCCCCAGTGAAGGCGAGAGGTCTAAGCTTATTCAAGAGACGGCAGACGTGAACGCGCCGTCCGATTCTCTAGTCCATGTAGCCGGCAGCAACAGAAACACTGCTATTAGAAATAAGGAAGATGAAGCCAAAAGCGGAGAGGTTATGTTGTCTGTAGGGCTAACAACCGGAGGTGGCTCCCTTCCGTCCAAGCTCCCTGGCAGCTACCCTGGATCTATCGGATTCAATTCCAATGGTTCTGTTCACCTTGATGGTAAGTCTGTCTTCTTTTTTTTTTTTTTTCCTCTTTGATCACTGTGAAATGCTATGATCTCGTATGGTTCCGAATTCGAATTTGGGTTTCTGCTAGCTAGTGTTGGGTGTTGAAAGTTGAAGCGCACAGACCCACTTATTTCTTCTTCATGTTGCCCTGTCCACCAGGAATCAAGCTTGTATTTGAGGCCGGCGAGGCAGAGTGGGGAATGAGAGACAGAGTGATTGGTTGTGGGTTTGATCCGGGTAAAAAGAAGGTGTTCTTTACAGTGGATTCGGAATTGGTGCACCTAATCCATTGCAAATCCGAGGAGTTTTCCAGCCCGCTTTACCCCACTTTGGCCGCAAATATGGAAGTAACTGTTCTGGTAAATTTTGGACAAAGTGCCTTCAAGTATGCACCTGCAAATCCTCAAAGGACTCCCAACCCATGTTTTATTGGCCCCCTCGCCAATGCTCCCGCCGCTGCTCTGGGTTATGAGGACAGCCGAGAGCTATTCTCCATGGGGAGGATTGATTCTGACTGGTTTAATCGAAGTACTACCAAGAATAGCAATAACAATGGTGATAGCGTAGCAGGAGATGTCTATGAGGAATCTGAGACTGACCTATTTGAAATAGTCCTCAGATAATTTATAGCAGGTCATCAAGCAGAGCAACGGGTATAGAGACATGATATTGATCCCACAGGATCTCAGTTTTTTGGCTCTATTTAGGAGGTTGTGCTTTTATGCAACTGATGTTGCAAGGTCATCGCAATCTTCACAAAGTTTTCACAGCAGAAGGGTGAATAGTCATATACTCATTCCATTTCATCATCAAGGATTAAAAGCACTTACAGGAAGATTGACTCCTTCAGTGTAGCTCAGGGGCCACAATTTGGTAATATCGCCTCCAGTTACTTGCAACAAAGAAACAGACAAGTTTTTCAAAAAGAGAGTATTACTGTTTAATTCCTCCTCTTACCAACTTGAGACCGGTTTTCAACTCGTGTTGCCTTCTCGGATGCATATATTCTTGTGTATAGTTTAATACCAACACTTAATGAAAAGTGTTAATTCCGATATTTGATCTTTTGTTCTTCCTAACATAACAATCTGAGACTGTTGTTTCAACTCACTGTTGCCCTTTCATATGCATACATTCTCTTGTGTAATCAAATGTTAACCTCGTCAAAACATAATCCTGTTCCTCCGTATCTAATTTTCTCTTCTTTCCAATAGACAAGAACAACCATGGTGCATTATGTGGTATGAGATTACATTTTCAGTTTTCATTGTGGTTGTGGGTAATATAATGGAGAGAGGATCAAACCCTTGCATCACCAATACACTATAGAGTTGCGTACCCACATCCTTAAAAAAATGAATGGTAGTTAACTGCATACAAATGCGGACAGCGGCCTTTGAAATGACCAGACTAGAAGAAACACTAGGCTAAACATGCTGCATAAAGAATTGATTTAATTCAAAATAGATCAGAGATACTTGAAACTAAATAGTCATTAGATAAGAAAGCCCGTGCACATTGGCTTGGACCTGATTACTGAAAAACGAGGATTCCCTGGAATGGATCCATGCCCATTTTAAGGATTAATGGCGCTCATGTTTCGGGATATCATCAAGAGGTTCTATGCACAAAGTTCCCAGAATAGAAACATCAATTTGTTCTATATCGGCATATTACCAAATTCATGCTGCAAATTTTGATTTAGAAACAATGTCTACTATCTTACAAACAGGGGCATCCTTTTTTTTTTAATCTTTTTACATGTTTAGAATCTTTTACATCTGCCTATTGGATGGGCAATCTGTCACCTCATCCGTCAGTACTTTGGTACCACATTGGGTTGTTGAGAAGAAACCAACTAAGTTGATTAAGTGGTGGGGAAAGAAAGCAAGAAACCAAATAAAGCCACTTTTGACCACCAGAGGAAAAGATTCCTTCCCAGTAGGCTGCACATAACACAGCAATGCCTATATATTTAACTATGGATGATGTCTCCTCTTCTTATCTGCCACATCTATGTTTGCTTCTTGCACAACCCCATTCGTGATTTTGCATACCTGTGTTTCCTGTTACGCAAAAAACCCATATCCTGGATTGGGACCAGCATAGAGAGACAGATTTCCAAAATCCTGTATGAGAAGTTTAAGCTATTCTCAAAGTATACTACAAATGCATGCTCTTGCCATCTGGTGATGAGTAGAGAATGGTGCCTTGAATAAATGATGGGGGGAAATCAGATATTATTGGACACAAAAAGGTGCAGCCGTGCAGATAGGCAAATTCCTGAGTAAATAACAGCCTAAATATATTCATATATGTTAGTTTCAGTTGGTGGCTTCTGATGCTTATTCTATCATATTTTTATCATTCATATTGTTTTATACAGTTTTTCAATGTTAACAGCCTTTATAAACTTCCACTGATTAATTACATTCTCATAGAGACTGGAGTTTATTGAAACCAGGAAGTAAACCTCTGTCATAAGACCAATTGACACTCCCAACTGATTAACAAATAAACTGATGGATGATCAGGAAGAATTATATAAAGACCATAATATGTAGAATAGATTAGTAGGAAAACTTATTCAACTATTACCTACTGAAAATATTACCTTTTTCATAGATATAGCCATATAGGTCTCATTAGCCAGTTCTACATGCTCTTAAGAGAGTATGCACATGCTAAGAAACCTTGAAGAGAGCACTAGAATGATGTATTTCTTATAAAATAATCATCTCATGTTTAAAGCATATTCAATGCCACTCCAGCAAGCAGGGAATGAACCAGAAGTTTTCTCTTGGAAAGGTCAGTGGAAGGTCAAAATAAGAAATGTTTTGATAGAAGTTCTATAAAAATTTAATAAATTAATTAAAAAAATATCTCACATTACATGGGTAGAGAGAATATTCTCTCTCATATTAAATAGGTTGGTTGGATGAATTGGGACAAATGGAGGAAAGATTGATTCAAGAGAGTTAAGGTTTTCTTCCTTTGCTGCAATCTGGACATTTTTTAATTGGAAACGGTATTTTTGTAGGTAAAAGAATTTGCAAACAATTTATGATTTGAGTATAATGTATGACTGAATAAGATAAAAGTCTCTATAAGTGAGATTTAAAGTGAAAATTCAGTTGGGCAGTTATTTCTGGTCTTTTGAAATTGACGGGATTTAGTTAGGGTTACTGATGGTGCAGGGTTTCAGGGAGGGTCTTAAACCGTTTAGGATGGGCCATTTAAATTCAATTGAGGTGGACTAGAGCCTCAGAAATTTTAAACTTCTATATGGATCAGAAATTTTAATTTTTTAATGAAAAGTAAGAAACTTTAATTACTTGCATTCTAGAGGGTATTTTGGATGAAATTTTGTAAGATTTTTTGTATTAGAGTTTGGAGCTATAAGGAGGGTGCTTTAATTAGATAGTGGTTCTAAACAGTCTGGGCACAAGTTCCAAGGAGAACGGTTAAGATTTTGGAGACAGGATTCATGTAGATGGATGTGGCACTGAACAGAACGGGATGGTGAAACAGGATTCATGTAGCCCACCCCATATAGATGGGACACAGTTTTAGAGAGTGAAAGTGGATGAAAATCAAAGAAAAGGTTAGACTTTCTGAAATTTCTCAGGTACCTCTAAACTGGATCATGTAACACCTCTAAACCTGAATTTTGATTGGAGTTTTTCTGGTTGCAATAGTTGTTTAAAGTCTTGAAGAAGACAGCAGGGTTTCAATGGAATCACTACATGAAGCATGCATACAAGGGAAATTAATATTTAACCTTTCATTCATTCATCTGTTCCAATAGTAAGACATCATCATTGTCTAAGATGTTAACAGATCCTACATAGGCTGTTCTTTGGCCTTTATTATTTATTATTTTGTTATTGGGCCTTGGCCCATATTCTATTATTATGTTTATTAGTTGTAATTATAAATACCAATAAAATCTAAAGTTAAAAAAGGGGAGTTAGAAAGAAGCGCAGAAAGACATCGATCTCCGTCAAAGAACCGGTAAAGCAACATGTTGGTGCCAGAGACGAAGGGGACGAGGGGTGGAGAACGGTGGAAAGGCAGAGAAGAGGAAGACACAATCATGACCACACACTTCCTTCCCAATGGTGGACAAAATTTCAATCAAGTGGGAGGGACGCTGATGACGCAGCCTTCTTAGACAACTTAGCAGCTATGCTAGTTGACAGGTTTAAGGCCCAGGGTCTTGAAATATATGTGTATGGGGGGGGGATGGCCCAAAATCTCTCCAAGGGCCTAGGAGAGTGCCGATCCAGGGTAAGGGAAAAAAACCAGCCCAGATTGAGATCCAGAATGATTCACCATCATTGGACTGGGAAGATTTAAGTGCTGATGGTGAAGGTTTAAGCCACCACTCTCATGAATGAAGATGAAGCAGGGAAGTGAACATACCAGCAGCAGTTACCTCCCCTAACCCTCAAGGAGGAAGGAATCTCCCTACTGGGAGACCAGTGCCAGACAACACTGTACAAGCAGGTAGTGTTTTTGAAGAGAATCGGGGTAGTAGGGAGCCTCAACACAGCAAGGGTGAGCAAGAGATTCCAGGTACATTAGGCCCTGATTTTGGGGTTGCAGATGCTGTCAAACCACTTGATCAGGAGAATACCTCCCTAAGCCAAGAATGCCTGGCCATAATCAAACCAGAGAAGGGCATGGAGATGCTGATGCTGCAACCTCAGTTCAGGTAGGTGAACCTAAAGTATGCGGAGGAAAATGAAGTGTCAGGATGGGCTTTGTCGAAGTTCTTGAGCTTTGGCGAGTTCCTGAGGGTTTCTTTCAAGGCGTATGAGGAAGCGAAAGCCCTGCTCGTTGCAATAGAGTACAGGACACTTTTGGAGAAAGGTAAGAAGATTAGAAAGCAGTCCAAGGAACTACTAAGACTTTCCTGGGGTTTGAATGATGGGCAGGCACTGCAAGTCGCGTTAGCAAAAACTCTCATAGATACCAATATAATTAGTGAGGAGGCAATTGTGGTCTATTTCTAATTTTAGACTTCAAAGTAAGAGATTCAGGCAATAGTTAACTATATAAAGGACAGAAAAGCATATTCAACAACACAAGGAATGTCACATTAATCAGCAGTGCAATAAGTTCAATTTCACTCTTGGATATTTGAACCAAGCAATGAATATTAATTCATTGTCATATTCATACAATGACACACAACAATACCTTGGCACTGTTCTCATACATGTCATTAATCTTACAAATTCAGTGTCATGAACTTTTATGTTTGATTTATTCTCATGTTACAATTTTTAACTTACAACTAATTATCAGTTAAGTTTTATATGATACAAGAAAAGAAAACATATTCCATGTCTGTTTAAATGCTTTGGAGGATCAGCTGCCTGAGAACTTCTCTTTTTCATCTATTTTTCTTTTTCGTATGTTTATTAATCTATTCTTGTGTATTTTATCCAAACTTAAGTAGCTTCTTCAATACAGTCCAGATGTATACTCTTCTCCAAGGTGTGACTGTTATGTGTAGCAGGTAAAATGTTAGGGATCTATCGGTACATTCTTTTCTCTTATTTCATTACAAAAGCTGGAAATTCAGAACCTTATTTAAAAGTTTAATGATTTAGAGTACACAGATTATAAGTGACAACCCTAATGGTATTCATATAAAATTTCTGTACTCAATTTAATTGATAGAGATATATAAGCATATCAAGTTCGAAAAGTTGATGTAATCAGGAATTTTCATTTCTTCACATTTCATTGACATACATTTTCATTCTTGTCAAAAATAACTATTTAACAATTGAAAACAAGAAATCTTCCAATATAAATAGAAAGTTCTCATGATGAAATTCCATGAAATAGAGTCAAGTAGTAATTTCTTTTCTCCAATACTTCGAGAAGCATTCAAATGTCATAAAATGGTACATGAAGACTTGACGAGTTCACATGGAGGTTCCTTTTTATTAATATTAATGGAAATTAATTTACATATTGCTCAGTGAAAGGAAAAAAAAACCAGCATTTTCATAGCCTATACATTGTGAGGTTTATAATTTTTAGGGTCCATAAGAAACAGAAGAATATAAATATTTCTCAACTACCAACTTAAGGGTAGATCACATAGCCATGGTAATGATTGTTGCAACTTGACAGAATCAGACAAGAAGGTAAATT